AAAAAAAAAAAAAAGTAAACTAAATAGACAATCAGCTGCTGAGATAAAAACACAACCAACAAAAAAACCCACTATCAATATAAATATTTCAATAAAACTAATTCACAGATAGTCTGACACCCAAGCCCAGGAGGGAGGGGATACTTCCATACAATCATTTAATTTTTTACATTTTGCATTCTGATTTTGCTGAGTTTTATGGTAAATCACCTTGAGTCATTCTAATTTGTGGGCACAGAAGTCAAATAAATACATAATATTGCTAATGGTAACAGAGGAGATTAAGGTAATAATAAACTACTTTGCCAACTAGCTTCTTACTTTTAAAACAAAGAATCAATAGGATGTCCAGTTTGGGCAATTCAACTAGGCTGCAGGTAAAGCAGAACAAAAAAGTGAATTATTCAATCACGTCAGCTGGTAGATTAGTTGCCACTCCATCTATTTTCGCAGACATCTTTTCATGCAAAAATATTTCTGTCCTACCTAGCTCATTTAAGAACTATCATTTCATTAATTACTGATAGAGTTTGGTATTTTCATTTTGCTTAACCCTTTGTAATTCTTCATCTTTCCTAAATGCTGAAGGAGGGGCTTTCTCATTTCTCAACCGCCCATGGGAATGTTACTGGTTTAAGATTGGGGTTAAACTAATCAGCATCAGCATCTTGCTTAATGACACTGAATTCCAGCATAAAATCAAAACTATACTGGTTTTAAATATTTAAGCGTTCCTGAAAACTGTTTATTACAGCAACATTAAAGCTTTAGACTTGAAGCTGTTGGCAGTATCGAGCAAGCACTACAGTGGAGCTAATAAAGTTACCATCAATGAATACCCTTTGAGGTCCATTCCAAACAGCCTTAGAGCTGTTAGTACTCTTAGAGTTAGTAGTAGTTAGAGTTAGTTAGTAGCCTTAGAGTACTGCTACTACAGTAGTCTTTTTTGCTGTAGATACCCATTCATTTGCCCCTCTTGAGTGAGAGAGCAGCAAGTAGAGTGAAAAAGAGCAGCAGCAGCGTTCACTTTATCCTTCTTCGTTGAATAAAAATAAACAGGTCCAGTAAAAATGGTAAGACGACAGCTGAAATATTGTCTTAGTGGAAACTCCACTGAGAGCATAATGACCAGGTCTACGGCCCTCCACAACATCAACTGGCACTAGCCTTTCCTGCCAAAGTTCCTGCCAGCACAGCAAGCTACTTCGCATTCTTTATCCCACTTTCCCCAATCTGATCCCCTCTTGACGCACTGGAGAACTATTTCCGCGATACCCAGCTACCGTGGCCAAGATTAACGTACCACTTTTGGAGTCGACAAATTAGCCGTTTACCTGTGGCTGACTGCAGCCGCTCGCTTAAAATCTGCACCATTCCAGGGATTCTATAGAAGCCAGAATATTCGAGAAAATGGGGAGAAACAACTCTAAACAACGTGATCGAAAAAAGAGAAATGGGATTAAACTACCTAAAGCCGAAACCCTTCACAGATGGCTGCTCTTTCACCCGTTCCCACTCCGTAAGCACGATCCGTCGGTCACCTTCCTCGAGCCTGCAGTCAAGTGGCCCCGCCCCGCCGCCGAAAGCCGCAATGGGTTTCGGGAACTTTGCTTTTTGACCGACCGCCCCCGGTCACGTACTATGTAGACACGGTTCACCTTCACCTTCTCCCTATTATAGCAACTCGAATTCCTTTCCGGTTGTCTTTTCTAATAAGGGAAACTCGTTAAAGCCTCGGAAAAACTCTTTAACTGATCCCCCATACACCTACCGGAAACAGAAGAATTTACTTCCGACTTAAAGTGGAACTAGTAAAAAGTGCTTTGAATTTTATTGTAGCAGCGCAGACGGGCTCGCAAGGGGCGCTGGGAGTCGTAGTTTTTGTCCTGACGCGGGGGGGATTGTGTATCTGCGCTTTTCCCCCGCCAGGGCCCCGCGCGCAGGCCTCGCCGCCCGCCCGCTGGAGTTGGAGTCCGCGTAGGCCCCCCCGTTTCCAGCCAGGACTGTCAGGGAAAAATAAAAGCTTCTCGGTTGGACAGTCGTTGCTGCCACGGCGGAAAAGAGAAAGCAGCGGTGCTGCTCCACTCGCAGTGGGGCTGGTTTGTTTTTGTGACGGAGACTGAGGTGGCGGCGGGTGAGTCTTCAAGCGCGAACTCCGGGGCGCGCGGGTCGGAGGAAAGCGAGCGGGAGGGGGAAGAGGAAAGCGCCTCGCGCTGTATCCGGGCGGGAGGGGGGTCTCGTGGCCTCCTCGCTTCTTGTGTTTTGTTTCCGTTTCTGCCCCGCGCGGCGCGAGTCTCATTTCCGTTTCGAGTTCAAATAACAAGGAGGCGCCGCCGCGGGCGACGGTGGAAGGCCTGGACCGAGGGAATGGTTTTCCCTTGGCGCCTCTTCGTCCTGGCAAGATTTTGCCTCTTTTCTCGAATCATGGGGCGGGAAGGATGCCTGCGTCCTCTTCGTCTCTTCCTTTGGCCATTGGAAAAAGAGGCCTCGGGAGTCCAGGCGAAAGTCAAGTCCCTTTGGCAGGCGCCTTCCTTTTCTCCACTTAGAGATGGGTTGATATTTTTTTTTTTCCTGACAACGTCGTGTCCCGAAGATGGTGTCTGACAACAAATTTCAAAACTAATTCGGCAGCCCCTTTCTCTCCCATAATTTTAAACACGTTCTCGCTATCCCCGTGTTTGAAACGCTCTGCACCATGGTAGTCGTCAGTGTTTCGCAGTTTTTTCTTAGGCAGCAGTATATTCTGTCAACATCGGTATGGAATTATTTCAGAGTAAGGAACTTAAGAGGCTGTAATAGCTTCTTGTGGATACCCTTAGTTGATAGCAAAAGTTACTTTATAAGTAACCTGACAAGTATATCAACAGTATACTGGCTGTTTAAAGTGCAGTAAGGCTTGTTGCAATGAAGTAACACTACTTTGAAAATTGGAGAACTGTGGATAAATGAAATATGTGGTAGTTCTTATGGCAAAAAGGGGTTTATATTGTTCATGATATATTTCTTTATTTTTCTGTTTCTTGTAATACACTTTGGAGACAAGGTGCATGCAGCCGTTTCTTCAGTACAGTTGCTACTTATCTTGTAATTTTGATGATGCCCGCTAGAAATAAACTGCTGTTGTTCATGGAATTTATTAGTGGATGTGTATGTAGGGTTAATCATTTTTACAAGACCTCAGTTTGATAAAGGACCAAGAAATATCAGAGAATTGGTCTGGGAGCAACTATCGCTACTTTTATTTCTCTTTACAAATACCAGGTAAAGCAGGATATAAATCTAGAGGGAAAAAAGTTTGCTTAAGAATGTCAGGCCTTGAGTTTGATGCTCTTTCACTTATTTATTGATCAGTCAGGACTACAATAATTACCCCAGATTAATTCTCCATTATAAGGACCAAAAAGTATCTTTCCCTTGTTTTTATTTAAAAATATTTCACTTTTCAGCCCAAAAGCTTCCAATTTCATTAGACTCCCAAGAGCATCTTCCATATGTCAGTAGTGAAACAATCCCAGCCCCATGGCTTAAATGGTTGAGTTCTCATGATAGATTGGATCATAAACTAGCCAGTTACATTTTAGCCAGCATATTATGTACACATGCTGGCTAAAGGTTGATTATTTTATGGTTCACTATATTTTGTGAACTTCTTGGTTGATTCAATAGATCATGGCTAAATTAGGCAGTGGTAAGAGTATTGTGAACACAGCCAATGACACTGAGAGGAAAACTGGATAACATGGGAGGAGAAAAGATTTGGTGTTGGTTCTTAAATTTATAATTCTTGTAAGGACTAGCTGAGCTGTACATTATTCGGTAGCCTAATTATAAGGTTCCCTGGTGATATCTGATGGAATTCCCAAATGCCTAGTCTTATTTCTTTTCTCTCCCTTTGCTTTACAATCTAATGGTATATGTGCTGCTATGTAGCCTAGAATTTTTGGAAATTATTTTTTTCCATTTTCTGGGAGTCAAAGCTGGATATTTTGAAATGGAAAGTAGTATAGTATCACACACATTTTAAAAAATCCCAAACTGTAGGACTGTGCAGCATTTCCAATATGAAGGCAATAAGCTACTTTTGGTTGGGGGGGGGGGATGGACATCTGCCATTCCTTAAAGCAGCCATTTTCCAGGCTTGCTTGGCCACCGCCCAAAGCTACCATGAGATCCAAGGAAAAGATGCATTTGGTTTAAAGAGCTGCACACTAGCAGACATTTACTAGCATTTGTACCCCTCAGTGTTCTAAAGCACCATTTTATCTTTGAGTCTGAAGTTCTGCACAGCCCTGTCTTTTCAAAATGTGTATTTTAACTGGTAGCCATAAGCAGATTAAAGATAATTCTTTTAAGTTATAAAATTTATTAGTATGTTGTATGGATTTCTTGGAATAGAGTAAATATAACGTATGCTGCATGTCTCAGAAATTGATAGAAAACAAAATGAGTTCAATATAAGGAATAGTTAAGCAACATCAGAGGCTTGCAACAAGTTGAGACTACAATATTTCTACTAATATTGTAGTCTCATTACTGTATTATCTCCTTAAAAATAAATCCAGAATATATGAGGTTATTAAGATATCAGGTATCTAAGCAATTTTAACACAGAAATGATTTCTGTTTACTGTATAAGTAATTTCTAGGGCTGTGCAGCACTTCAAGTTTCAAGGGCAAAAAAGAAGTACTTGAGTGTGTTTACATAGCACCCATCAATAACTTAAAGCAGCATTTTTACATTTAATGGAATTCTAGAATTATTATTAACCATTATTGCTTTATAGTAGCACTCAACAAAATGTATTCCTAATATGCATTCTTTATGCTATACTGAAATACTGTATATCTTTTTTTTTCAGAGTATATGAAATAGTAAAAATATATGTCACATGACATTATTTTAATTTTAACATCATGTATGGACTATTTGCTGTGTTTCAATTTGCAGGCTATCTCTTGAAGTATGTCAGCCATGACTAAAAGAGAAGCAGAAGAACTAATAGAAATAGAAATCGATGGAACTGAGAAACAAGAGTGCACTGAAGAAAGGTATATAGTAGGACTTCATAGGACCCCATACATGTTTATTTTTTATAGTTGCCTTTCTGATTAATAAAGGAAAGTTAAAATAAATTCCAGTTGAACATTCCTGTTCTTTTAAGTTCTATGGAAATAATTTTTGCTTGACTGTACTTTAAGGATGTAAGTATCTGAGGTTTTTTTGATGAAGGAAAGATGGAAAGCATCATAAATTTGTTATTAGAAATGGTCAAGGAACATTGACCAACAAGTTGAGGCAACAAATGTTTCTTCTACCTCATTCCTTGTTACTTTAGAGTACGATAGAAATTAAATGGTTTATAACATTGATATAAAAACACCACACAAGCAGGATTTTCTTTAAAGGCGGAGTACATATTTCTATTAAGATGACAAAATAAGTAATAAAAATATTTAACTTATAGGAAAAAGATGAACACCTCTATAGTTGTCAATACAGAGTTTTCACTGAGTTGAATTGATTTTAGATTCCAACTCTTCAAAATACTAATCAAGTATTTCGTGGCTAATCAACTGCCAACACATTTTTTGCAATTGATATAAACGTGCTCGTGTCTTAGAATTCTCTTGTTCCTTCTCATGTGTCTTTTTTCTGGACAGCTGTTGCCTTAATCATATCCTTGTCCTTCATCTTGAATATTCCTTGGGGGGTCGGGAGCAGAAACAACAGAAAACAGTTGAGAATTTCATGCTAAATCCCTGGGTGATTTGCAAAAAGACTACACCCTGTGCCCAATTATAAGAAAATTCCAACATCTTGCAGTTAATTAGAAATGCATATTTATGTGAAAAAGCTCCACTGAGGTCTGGTACACAAAAAAGGAATTCCTGTTGTTATTATTTAACCCTTTGGCCTTATCCTTAGTTTATTGGATTTCAGAATTCAGTTTTAAAAAAAATGAAGTAGTTCCCTTAAACAAATATCTATCTGTGGCCTTCATGTCATCAGTCATTTAATATTTGGAAATTACATTGATTTAAGTATTTACATATAAATAATCTACCTGTGCTTTTGGTTGAAGAGATGTCCAATATTACTGTACTATTTAAATTTGTTCAAATCAGATTTAGGCCAATAAATGAAAAAATCTATACTAGAAACAATTTTTGTTTAAAATGCAGTGGTTTTTTTTTTAATTCTTTCATTTCATTTCAGCATTGTTGAACAGACTTACACTACTGCAGAATTTGTAAGTCAGGCTATTGATATCAATGAACCAGTTGGAAACCTAAAGAAACTGCTGGAACCAAGACTTCAGTGTTCTTTGGAAGCACATGAAATCTGTCTGCAAGATATACAGGTATAAGCACAAATTAGTATGGTTAAAAGTCGTTAAATAAGCATCAGTTTAAGAGCCAGTTTGATTTAGTAGTAAAAGTACTGGACTAGAAACTGAGAGACTAAGATCTAGTCCTCTGATAGGCACAGAAGCCAGGTAGGTGAACCTGGAATATTACAACATGCTCTACATGGGGCTGCCCTTGAAGAGCATTCAGAAGCTTCAGGTTGTACAGAACG